CCACCCAGGGCCCTCCTACAAACAGAGTTTTAAGTTTCTACTGCCAATGATATCTTGGTACTGGCTATTATAAGTTTATACTGGCCAGATACTCAACCCTCTCTGAATTTAATGAAAACCAAACTTTGAGAGTCTATAGTTAGTTCTTGGCAGGGACTAAGACCAAAGTTGAATGTTACCCACAACTAGCGATCTTTCTACAAACAAAATAAAAAGTAAAAATGACTGTCACAGGCATAATGAAATAAAAAGGAGAAATAAATTAAAAACACCAAAAATTGGGATAAAATGTTCCGTTTATCATTATTAGCAATACCCCAGATGAAGTGTATGTATGGACATCTTTACAAATTTAAAATATTCCATTTAATCATTAGCAAGGACGATTTAGATTTAAGAGAGAAAAAATGGGTTTAACGTCCACTGGACACAAACTAGGTCATTTTGGGACGAACATATGTATGGTCATCTTTACAAAGTTTATATATACCATTCAGTCGTCATCAAGAATGATTTTGACTTCAGAGAGAAATGAGGTTTTAGGTCCACTCGACACTAGGTAATTTTGGAACTATCATATGATACAGTTTTATTTCAATAATTCGCATGAGCGAAAAGAGAATCTGTGAGACAACACTAGACCATGTCACCTACAAGCTTGTAATGGAAACCACGGCACTTAACTCCATGACATACCTTATGACCACTTTTGCCTTTACCAATGTCCAATGAAATTTACACAGAATAAATCTTATATAAATATGATATAGTAATGAAATGAAACATATTTCAGCTCTCGGGTAAACGATCATTATGTTGTCAATAGCTGCAGGGGGTTTGCAGCAGCATCCCCAGTACATTCTCGTTGCTGGAAATGTTCCGTGGAGCGTCGGGCAACTGATCACAAGCAGTTACGTCGCCCGTGGCTTGCTGAAAGAAATTGAAGTGTTTCTTAGGGATGTGTATGTTCGAGTGTGTAACAGGTTTTAAGGACACGGAGATTGTAGACCTTCCAGCGACATTAAGGGCCTGGTTACATGGAGAGGGCTAACCCGTTTGGGCGAATCGTCTTCTCTGAACGGGGGCCTTGGGTAAGACGTCATTGCAATGCAACCAAATAAAAAAAGCAAGGGCGAATTGTCTTCTCTAAACGGGGGCCTCGGGTAAGACGTCATTGCAATGCAACCAAATGAAAAAAGCAAAACACTGTTTATATCTAAACCAGGCTACAAGCAGGGCGGGCGCATGCGCATGGGAAATATTTTCATCTTGGTTCCAATCTTAACCTATAACAATAAACATGGCGACAAACAAACAAAAGCGAAAGTTGTCAAGCGGGGACTGTTTAACATCTAACAAGGCAAGGCGTTTTGTTTGGTCACAAGATATGATAAAATCACTAATTGACAGCCTTACTGACTATAAGGTACAGATGGAATACGAAGGGAAAGATTTCAACGCAGACAAACCACAGCAATACGAAAGTTTGAGAAAATCAATGACTGATTTGTTTCCTGAGAACGAATATCAGGCATTTGGACCCCCGATTTGCCGCATCCAAATGTATCGGATGACATTGATGACAATGTAACATTTGAAAGTAAGCCGACAGATGTGAAAATTAAAATTAAAGTTGGCTATAACAGAATCATTGAGAAGAGTAAAAGAAATTAGACAAAGTTTTAATTCAGCTGTTGAGAAGGGCACTCGATCTGGAGGTGGCAGAATAATAATTGAGTATTACGATGCTTTAGCCAAAATTTACAAAGGTTCGCCATCTGCAGAGTCATTTACCCGTGGGATTGATACCGATGCTACCGAGGAATACATATTCCAGTTGTTTGGAAATACTGGCCAAAATAGATCAGATGATGATGCTTGTACAATAAACTCAGAAGATGTATCCTTGAGTAGCACAAGTAGCAGTACCTCCTTTGCTAAATCAAAAATACCCGAAAATATTGTTCCAAAGCTTACTGATGACAAGAGGCGACATATGGAGCGCAGATTGTCTGCTGCACAACGAGACAGTCTATTACTGCAGCAAAGTAAAGAAGATATGTCAGGAAGAAGGGATTTGATAAATGTCATAAGGGAATCATCGGCTGCCCCAGTTAATGCCTTTGAAAAATTAACTGAAGGCTTCCTTACTATAGGCAGAGTCTTAACAGAGGCTATAGGAATATTAGCCCAGTCAATGGTATTAGACAACAATCAGCCACCCAATAATAACGCTTGGAATCATGGGGCTCACAATTTTACACCCGATAATCGAAACAACCCACCCCACCATAACTCTAGCAGCAGAAACTCACAGTCCAACTATAGAGGTCAACAAAATATGCTTGAAGAAAAAACTTATCATGACCTTGATACCGGTGGAAGATATTCCTATGATCAATCAACGTGTAACACAAATTCCTATTCTGGGTCAGATTAGAGTTTATTAGGTTAATCTACAATGCACAAACTACATGTATAACAAAAAACAAAAACAACAACTGTTCTTTTGTTTTATTTCTGGACTGACATTGTATAACTATACAAGTTTACAAATAGTAGACATTAAAGTTTATATTTTATTTGTGTAATGTAAATGTCTGTCAATAAAGATACAAGAAAGCAGTTTTAAGTTAGACCCGCCAATAAGCAGCTACATACGTTTTAGGGTGACATAGTTTTCAACATACGTAAAATGACCACTCAGATAACTCACACGATTCATTCATTCCCAAACGACTGCAGGATTTTACGTCGACCACTTGGCCTATCATACCTGACCAATATCAAAATTTTAGCAACACAACATCTCAAGTAGGAGCGTTTTGAAATTTGGGCAAAAAATTGGTCGAAATATGTCGAATTTTGACCAAAAACAACAATTTCCAGTTGTACCGGAAGTTGTCATTTAATTTTTGTTCACTGCATCGCGTGACTTCTGTCGCTTAGGGGTCCCCATATACCAAGTATGATTGAAAATTGCTGACCCCCCTAGTGTACCTGTTAGTATAAAACACTCCGTACTTGACATCTAGGTGTTTTTATATGAACATACGAATTAAATGTTTGAAGCCACCTACATTATATTAATATAACATGGTCTTTGTTTATTTTCTTAATGTAGGCCAAAGTTGTCTAAACGCCTTTGAAGTCTACCCGCTAAAATTTGATAATAACCGTTAAAATATTTGAATGGAAGAATGTTTTGACATAATATCTCACATCACATTTATGAAAGAAGTATTCGCTATAACGAGCTTCATCATAATACACTGTCTCTCAGACAACTTCCGGTTAATTTGGCTATTATGAGGTATACCTTATATGGAATCAAAGATGAACATTTTTTAGACTATATTCTGATCCAGAAGCATCAGTTTCATATTTTAATGCAACTCAATGGAAGGAGTACTTGACTATCTTTGGCAAACAATCGTTACGTTACATCCCACATCGGTCGTGTTGATCGTTTGCAAAATGATCCGTCATAAAATAAAGATTGATAACGTATTCTTGAAGACTCTTCATTGTTTTTAAGCACCATCATTGTGGCAATATAATTAGTCATCATGGTCTTTGCTGTTTTATTTCCTTCTTGTGATGACTAAAATAAATGAAACCCAAGCTATCCTTACAATATGAGTTGTATGTCCAAATCAGGGGCCTGTTTCACAAAATTTTAACTAAGATAATATTAGATGGATTTTAGTGCTTAGCCAATCAAAATTGTAGTATCTACTAAAATTTGGATTTTATCTTTAGTTAAGATTTCGAGAAACAGGGCCCTGGTCCTTAGAGGATGTCCAATTCTGGCCCTTACTTGGCGTAATGTTCATATCGGACGGTGCCCGATCCAGGTTCTTACTACTGCTGAATGGCCACACAAGGTCCATGGTTCAGTCCAACGCACTACTGACCTTAAATCTAACCAAACTATATTTCAGAAAGTACAGCAAGATTTACGAAAACCTTAACGCTTTTACTCTAGAAGTGACCGCAAACCTGCTGTGCTCTGATGATGATGTGCAGGGTATGCTTAAGGTCGACCCCGGATCCATTCACTTGATTTGGTCCGCGGTTTTGACTTCTAGGTATCTATTTGTTTATGTGTGGTGCAATTCTCCTGCACTTACCATTAAACATTATTTATACTGAATTACAAACCCGATAAATACCTTTAATAATATGCCACACCATGATGCCAAAAATCAAGCGGTGATAAATTGAGTATTATCCTGTTCTTTAGTATATACAGTCTCATCAATGAATGGTACAATTGGGTACAATATGTCACAATGTGTCAATACCAGCTTGTACTTTAAGTACACAAATCAAATCGTTCACAACTCAAGGCTTTTCGATACATCATTTACCTTCTAAAGCAGTAGGCGTATATGAACAACCTTGATGTTATAGAGTTTTGATGTTGATATTAAATAAACTACCCACTTCCCGATTCGTAGGGCATAACGTCCGCTTCCGCCGAGGATATCGCAGACAAATGTTTCCAAGGAAACTTGCCTGCAGAGCAAGCCCTGATTGAGAGGCCATAGTCGGGCATAGCCCGGAATGTCAATGATGGCAGTAGAACGAAAGATCCAACTACCAATCTCACTGGTAACCTATCGCGTTGATGCCATTACAGCGTCGTGCGGCTTAGACGATTTTCTTGTCATGTGCTTCAGCTACCACACCCTACACCCCTTAACGAGTGTATTGGCGACCAACGTCCCCCCCCCCCCCGGGTGACCTCCTATGGATCCCACCCAGTGGGTCTCAAAGTAAAACAGTCTTTCTCCACAGGGATTAGACCATGTAGTCTTTAATTCCAATCTCACTCGAAGTTGGCGATTAATTCAAATACTTCATGTCTCTCCGTTCTGGGGTTCCCCTTCCCCATATTTTATTAACATTATCAGAAATTCGTGCTTTTCGCGCATGATTTTTGTGCATATTTGTTAATGAAAGCTTAACAGTTTTGGTTGTTTCTATTTTTAGAGATGGTAGACTCGTGTTCAAGTTATGGTATTGCTAAAGGCTGGTCGGTTGGAATTGGAACCGTTCGATCGGACGGGGAGCAAAATGCTAGAATATTTTTCTCTTTGCAGACAGGTCGCTCTGGTGCAAGAACAAATATTTACGACTATAAATCATTTGTACCTAGCACGTGGATCCACGTAGTCGTTTCCTTTAATGGAAGTGAAATGACACTTTATGTAAATAATGCCAAAGTTGCAGTTAGTCATAAGCAAATTGGTCCTATATTTCCTTTAGTTAAACAATCATGTAAAGCGTTACGACTCGGGGGCGTTGCTGGTACACGTCCGTATTTCAGGGGGACGTTAGACGAACTCAATATATGGCCGATCCCTTTATCTCACAGAGAAATAACAGCTATAAGTTATAGACCTTCTCCAGATAATATAGTTCTTAAAGATAGTTTTGATGACGTGAAACAATGGACGTTCACTGAAGGGCGATCGATAGACATAGTCTCTTCTGACATTCCCATCCACTCTGAAATCAAACTTACAACGCCCCAGTGTGGACATACTGTCTGTGATGACCCAAAAGTCGTTATCAGTTATGCCAATAGCTGGCAATTAAGGACCAAAAAACAGCTTCGATACAGGATAGTCAATCTGATGAATGATGACGGTTCCCACCCAACAGTTAAGAATGAACAAATCCAACGACAACACGAAGCTTTAAACAATGCATTTAGATCATACAATATAAGTTTTCAGTTAGACGTGACATCCATTAAAAATACCTCGCTTAACCAAAAATTAATCATGTTCGGATGTGATCCTTTAGACATTGGAAACGGACAGTGTAATCCCGAGTGTCAAAACACAAGAACTGGCAATGATGGCGGAGACTGTGATCCCGTGGATGTGGCGTGTGATTTGGGGAAAGTTGGAAATAGCCGATGTGATTACGAATGCAATCGCCATAATCATCAGTGGGATGGGGGTGATTGTTGTATTCCAGGAAAGAATAGTACCCATTATACATGCTATGACCCCTTTTCGTCGTTGAGGTAAGAACTATTAACGTTTTATAATCTCTGTGGTATATACTAGAAGACACCTGAGGGTTAAGATGGTTTGAAATGGTAGAAACTTCATGTATGCCCAAATATAAGGATTAGCTACCTTGGATGATTTAAAGCTTGCAAAGTCGTAAGTTCAGTACCTGTCCAACCTTTGAGATTTCTATTGGTTTTCAACCCCCCCCCCCTCCTCCACTGTATCCCTAGTCTATACGATGATTGAAATCACTTCCGACCCATGTGGTTTTTGTCCCATAGTCGCGCCCCGTCCTTACCCCCGCACAGCGAAACAGTTGTCCAAGTGGCACCCTATGCACTTATTTAGAGGTGTACAGTGCTAGAATTCAATGTTTTACTAACATTTAAGATGATTATCATTTATATCTACATTATCGAATGTGCTGCCATTAATTTTTGGGCATCGTACCGCCTCCCTACAACCCACCCCCGGTCCCGGCGCAAAACAAAACATTTATTTAAGAGAATCCTATAAACTTTTTATTTAGAGATGTAATGAGCTATAAAATAATCATCACCATTATCACATTTCCACCCAATTTAAGACATTGTACCCACTCCATCCCTATCCCCCATCCCCGTATCTCGGAAAAGCCCCCTCAAACACCTAGAAACGAAATCTACACAAAAAGATGCTCTAGAAAAACCTGATATCCCCCCTTGAGGCACCGGACTAATACTGGAAGTAGTTGAAGTACGAATTAATGAATGTTCTAAGGCAGTGTTTTATTTTCAGGGGGTATATGAGCATAATAGAACTCAAGGAAATACTTCAGTTTGACAGTACCTCACACTTAAATATATTTTTCGTTGCCTGGACCACAGATAAATTAATTGGTGTTGCCACGTTTCCATGGGATAAACACGTTTTCACAATACAAGGTAGACTTTTATTTTATTCTGTCCATTTTAACCACGATTCCATGCGTTGGTGGGTTATTTTATTCTGTCCATTTTAACCACGATTCCATGCGTTGGTGGGTCGTAAGACATGTAATATCAAGTGGTAGTCATAAATGTGACGTGAATCGCTAGTAGGAGGCATAAAATACAAAAAGAGGTTTTGACTGATTATCCTCCGGGAATTTGCATATATTTAAGGGAATAAACGAATTGAGCCGGACAATTCAATCAAATTGGCGAGGGCGCGAGAAAACGAGAAATACCCAAAGGCGAGGGAGCGGGAAGTCGGGGATTTTGAAAAGCGAGAAGTCGAGAAAACGAGAAGTCGAGAAAGCGAGAAGTCGAAGGCCAGAGTAGGAGAGTACGAGAACGCGAGAAAACTAGGCGAGAATTTGCACATATTTAAAGTAGCTCTCTAACATAATATCATCCAAAGTCATCGACATTGAAAACACGAATTATTTGTCAATTTAAATCAAGATTGATGTTGTGATCTTACCGGGAAAGGAAGGGCTTCTGATATCCAATATTTAAGACAAAATAAACATTTTACCATTAGTACACGAATCGTGTACCATATTGCGTTTCAGCGTCATTTGTAACAAGGGGCTCGAAGAACGAAGCTAGACATATTCCACAAGTCGTGTCAACCGGTGACGTCATATTCTTATCTGGAGAGTATGCGCAATAACTACTATCGGTGTAGACTGGAATAACCAGACGCTAGAGATTGCCATTCGATTGAGACTTCTGGCGTATTTCGCCGAATATAAATGATTTGAAATTAGAGTAAAAACGGAAAAGATTGAATGTAAATCAGTTTATATACATTCATGTTACATTATTATATGGGTTGCAACCCATTTGTGTCAATTTCTAGGTCTCAAATATTAGCGATTTACCTCCTTTATTGGCATAAACGAATTGAACCGGACAATTCCATCAATTTGGCGCGGGCGCGAGAACGGGAAAAGTCGACAAATACCCAAGGGCGAGAACGCGAGAAATCGAGGATATGCAAAAGCGAGAAGTCAGAGCTAGAAGTCGAGAAAGCGAGAAGTCGAACGGCAGAGTACGAGAAAGCAGGGAAACTGGGCGAGAATGCGAGATTTTTTTTCCTGGGCTCCTCGCTCCCCATCTTCTCGCTTTCTCTCATTTGAAAACTTAAAAGGAACGGCTTAAGGGATGTATTTCGACAGATTGTCTCAAAAACAAATAAAAATGAAATGAAATAGGGTTTAACGCCCTACTGTTCTGTCTCCAAAACACCTTTCATTCAATCAGTTTTCTAAAATGAACTAAAGATCATAAATGATGGTGCTGGATCAGTAGATTCACATAAAAACTGCAGTTTTCAATCCGGCATCAGTAGATTCACATAAAAACTGCAGTTTTAAATCTCTTCAAAACAAACTAAAGAAATCATAAATGAGGATTTCTAAGCAGGGGATTCACATAAAAACTGCACTTTCTCCTTATTTTTCGACATTGACAAAAGAGCCGATTTTATTCAGACTTGAATCTAAAAAAAAAATCAACAGATTTTAAACATGTGTATCTACAAAATATCTAGCAGTTGAACTAATGAAATGAAATGTGTTTGGAAGATATTCTGTAAATTTACATCCTTAAAAACTGCTTTTTGAAATTAACATCAGAACATCGAAAAACAAGGAGAAAGGGCAGTTAGTTTTATTATTTTAATATAAGTAAATGTTTTACTTGTTTTTTCGTTATTCGCAAAAATCGAAAAACAAATCGAAAGAGTAGTTTTTAGGTGAATCTACTGCTTGGACACCAACATTCATAATTTCTTCAGTTAATTTTCAAAACTGATTTAATGAAATGGGTTTCTCCTTTATTCTCTGTATATTTATCTATGTATGTGAATCCACTGCTCAGGTATCCTGAAACATGCTTTCTTCAGTTTTTCAAAACTAATTTAATGGAATGGTGACTTTCTTCAGTTTTTCAAAACTAATTTAATAGAATGGTGGCTCAGTGAGCATAACATGACGTTGACTTTCTAACGTGGAAGAATCGTGTCCGATCCCTGTATGGGCCGAGACAGTTCCTCTGGAGGCAGACCACCATTAAATTTCACCATCTCGGTACCCACAAATTGTAGTTCGTCTATTTATAGCAATTCTCTCTGTGTCGCTTTTCTCCCCTTTTGCATGCCCATTTATTTTGATTTTTTGGTCTAGAAGTAGAATGAATGAAGAGGATTTGAATTAACATTTTCTACCAGGTTTTGGTAAATATTCATGATTTTGAGGCGGAAGGATAACGGGGCTATCAGGTTGGCTACGGTGATATGTACGGCAACTAGTTACATGTTTTTAGTATGCTTCTTCAAGTTTGTGTATCTCAAAATTTTGGTGGTCAACCTCATACAAATTTTAGTGCAAAGACATGGCCATTTGTTCATCTGTCTGTAGTGAAAAGCATTCAGCCCAACGAAAATTTGGCAAAAGTTGGAGGTGGGCAAAAAGGCCAGAATTAACATTGAAGTCAATGGGGAAATTAATGGTGGTCTGCCTTCTGTATGGAAACAACCTAACAGTGGATGAGAGGCCTATATTTGATGATATGATCTCCAAATTGTCAGAAAATGTGATATATGACATTTTGATAATAAAAAAAAGTGAAATGGTAAAATTTCAAAAATATTTGACAAATTTGTGAGGGGCAATTTTGATTTTAGTCAAAATTTTGTGATTTTCAGTGTTTATTTACTTTTCAAAATTAGTGGAAAAATTTTTAATGTATAATTTTTACTTTTTCTGCATCATAAAGGTTAGACGGGAAGAAAATATCATAATTTCACTCAATTTTGCCTAAAAATCATGATAAGTTGTCTGAAATTCCTCTGTTTACCCACAATATTGCTGTCAAAATTTTAATTATTCATCTGTTGTCAAATGAACCAAAATGTCTTGCATGTCTTTATTTTCATTGTTAAATAACTTGGAAAGGATCTATGTGTTTGTCAGATATTGAAAAAGTATCCATGTGTTTATCAGAAATTTAAAAATTAAGAAATTTAGTCTAATTATGTATGGCTGAGGTATGTTAGAATTTTCAAAACATTAGTGAACTGCATTTTGCTGCTGTGTTCCTCTGACTTAACACAATTTTAATCTTTCAAAACCTGAAATTGTCGCATTTCCCTTCTCGAGAAAGTAAAATCTATGTGTTTGCAGGGAAATTTCTCTGTCTTCATTTCATTTAGACTGGCTGAACCTCCCCACCCCACCCCTTTTCTTGAACATGATATTTGGATATTTAATTGAACATTTGTTGACTCCAAATTAGCAGTAATTGGATTTTGTGATTTTGTAAGTGATTTTATTTGTCAAAAACAAATAGTCACATATAAGATTTCAAGGATTTCTAAGACTTGGCCAAACATGTAGACCTATGACATTTCTTCCAAATGAGTCCACACCCCAAAAAGGATATGTTGTAGATGTGTGTTTTGCAGCTGAATGTTTTACATTTTGGATGTAAATGTATTATTTGTTGTGATCTTTTAAAATGTGGCACTTACAGAGCAATAAAATATTAATTAATAGCCTTTTCATACGATGAATTATGTCATAATACTCATAACTCCCTTTTTCCACTTCATTTTGTCAGGAAATTGATGTAAAGATTAAAACAACTTGCTTCCACAAAATATTTACACTATGTAATTTCAAGGATACCTATGATTGTTGAAGTAGTTTAAATACTGAAATATTCCCATTTTTGAAAAAAAAAATAGTGCTTTGTGACCTTTTTATTAGAGTGGCTGGTTATCACCTAAATACAGCATTTGTTTTACATTTATCAATCCATATTTTAATAAATAAAGGATAAACTGCAGTTTTATGTGAATCCACTGCTCAGCCATCCACATTTATGATTGTATTAGCTCGTTTTAGAAAATTGACATTCTGTAGATGTACATCCTTACAATCGGATTTTTAGAGATTCAAATCTGAATATTGAAAAACGAGCTAACCGTTTTTCGATACTCTCCAATATCTAAAAAAAGAAAAAGAAATAAAAAAGAGGAGAAAGTACAGTTTTTATGTGAATCCATCGCAGTCTGTTTCACAGAGGTATTGGGAAAACTGTACTTCTTCTTAGTGTTTATCGTCCGCATCCACCGAGGTTGATATCGCAGACAAGTTGTCTTATTTTTATTATCGTAGCGCACGCACAGGGGTCTTTCATATTGCAGGAAACCGGAGTAAACCTACGAGGCTGATAAGGCTCCTCTATCTCCAAGCCACATAAGACGTAGTAATGTAAACTGGTCTGGACAGAATGGTGCCTTTTACTCATTTTATTACCCATTTACACTAAATAGGAACAATTTTTTTTTATCCAGATATACTTTATTTATTATTTTTTTTAATACTCTAGAATGTTCTAGAATTTAATTTGCGGAAGGAAAAAAGTTAATATTGTGAGCTAATTAACTCGCACCGATGTCATCCCTCTCAGCGAATATTCACAACTGGTTAGTGTGAACCCACTGATCAAGCATCATCACATATACTCTTTAAAAAAAAGTAGGGGATATTGAAATCCAATTACCTATGCAGGTTGTGATATGATAAATAGTCATGGACACTTGACATGCTTTGAAAGTATGTTCACAGATGAAGAACTTATCGCCCCAACAGGAGCACTGAGCTGAACATGCGACACGCAATAGCGTCATACACGTGGGAGGGGTTCATTGTCAAATTTGACACTTCAAAGAAGTGTTGATGAAAACTGCCGCTTGCTGGTTTATCCTATCCATGTTTGCTTTCCTATCGGTTCATGCATAAGATTTACTGTTCAGCGTATCTTTGCTTTAGTGTATTACGTTAAAATTTGCAATGAGACGTATTCAACATGATGAACGTCTACGTGCTATTGAAATGCTTCAAATGGGTTCTACACAGTGGGCAGTAGCCAACATACTTAATGTGTTACAA